TTTAAAAAGTTTGTTGGTCATGGTTTTTCAGGTGATTTCAATTTCATCAAAAATGTTATGACAAGTCTGGCAAGCATTCACAAATGGGAACATCAATTTTCTAAGATAAATTGATAATAAATCAATTTTTCAGGGGAGGAAAAAAAGAAATAACTCCCTTCAGCCATTATACATCTTTAAAGGAGGGTAAGACAAGAGCTGAGGAGCCACCCTGGTGCTTCCCAGCACTCCCAGCACACCAGTGCTTGTTTGCTGGCTGAAGGAATCCCATCCATCAGCAGGGCCTGGGATCCTGAGTGCCATGGGAGACCCCCGAGGACCCTCCTGGCTGAGCACACTCCAGACAGCCCCCAGGAGTGCTTCACCCCGAGATCACCCACCTCTGCTGGGGAAAAGTGCCTTCCCTGCTCTGCTCCTGCTCCTGCTCCTGCTCAGCCACGTTCACCCCACAGGGGGAATCCAGGCTTGGGCAGCCACAGTCACAGCTCAGGCACAGGAGAAGGGCTCGGTGCCCCTCCCCAGGGTCCGCGTGGAAGCAGCCACGGGGGCTCCACGCCTGTACCCTGTGCAATAAAAACAACAGGGAGGAGGACAGCAAAACCTGGCCTGCACAGAAATGGCTCCTAAGCCCCAAAAAGCCCTGTTCAGATGTCTTTAAATCCTCCTTCCAAGGCGTTTTGCCCAGCTATCAACATGGAATTTACACAACAGCGATAATGTCACGCTGCAGAAAACAAAATGTCATTTCCCCAGCAATGATGAACTGGTATTTGGAGCCTCCTCTGATACACAGAAAATGAATGACAATTTCCCTGGAAGCAGAAGCCCCCAGGCTCCTTCCCCTGGTGCTTTGGAGGGTGGATTACAGCGAGTAATGGATTAACAGAACATCCTTTAACTCAATGCCCTTCAGGAACTGCTCCACAGTGTCCCATTCACAGGGATCAGGCACTGAGCACACCTCAATGAACAGCTCCTTTGGATGGAGCCTCACAGCAGAAAATTGTGTTCCTGGGACCAGGAATTCCTGAATTATTAACAAATCAAGCTACAGGAATGTAACACACCTCTACACAAGCAGCTACAAAAGCGTAGCTGAACTCCAGGTAGGAACACTGAACGTTAACAATATTTAACACCCAACCCATGCCTCCAAAGGGAAAATCACTGTGCAGAGGGGATCTCGTACTGGCAATCCCTTACCTTCAGCTCCCAGCAGAGGAAAGCACGTGGAGCTGTCAGCAGGCACCACAAAGGCTCCTCTGGGATCACGTCTAGACGTGTGCTGCTGGGAGAGCTCCTCAGGCACCCCAGGCATCCGCCCGGGGCTGGCAGATGTGACAGGGGCCCCTGGGAGCTGCTTTGCTCCCTCCTGGAGCAGCAGCTGGAGGCTACACAGACACCCAGGGGCACCTCCAGCAGCTGTGCACATCTGCCCGGGGCGCTGAGCCGAGCCTGCAGCGCGTGTGTGACCCCAGCTCTGACCTCTGCTGCTTCTCTGGAGCACAGCATCAAACACAACCATCTCAGGAGGGGCTTCTACCAGACCACTGCCCCCCAAATGTGTCACCAGGGAAGGGTACTGGGGCTGGACCCACTTTTTCTCTCACTTTAGCCGTGGTTAAAATACTTTCAGTCCTTCTCACTGTGAATTCGCTGTTCAACAGAAGCTTCTGACCCTAAAACCACCAGGGCAAGGCTGGGCTGGGGCCTGTGGCTGCCTGCAGGGACTCACCCAGGGACAAAACCGTGTGTGTAACGATTGCAGGGGGCCTGAGAGCAGCAGGAGCCCAGACCCCCGGTGGTCCCTGCCCTGGAAGCTGTGCTCGCCCAGCCCTGGCCCCTGTTATCCCTGCACTGGAAGCCTGGCTCAGGCTGGGGCTGCCCTTCCCAGGCAGGGAGCTGGCAGAGGCATTCCCTGGGCAGCCTGTGGGCTGCTCGGGTGCCCTGGCAGCGCAGAAAAGAGAAATTGTTGGTGCTGGAGCTGGCCTGGGTGGCCAGCACCCCTCCTGCCCAGCAGCCCGGGAGCAGGGCAGCCCCGCAGCCCTTTCCTCCCTCCGGACAAACAGCCCTTGTTCCAAGCCCCGGAACAAACCCAGCTCCCTGCCAGCTGCGGGCAGGACAAACACTCCCTGCCTCCTTCCGCAGCCCGAGGTCGGGCTGGCAGCGAGGGGACAGCAGGGACACTGAGCGGAGCCACCCTGTGAAGGCACAGCCACCAACTGGGGCAGCAAATCCTGCCCGGGTCACTGGGCACGCCTGCCTGCTCCTTCATATGCAGAAATGCAGATTTCCCTCTTTTCCACCCTTTCCGAGGTCTGCCTCCCCAGCTTGGAGGGTTTTCCCTTTTCTAATGCCATTGTTCTCACCCCTGCACAGGTAATTCTGAGCCGACTCTTTATTGACATAAACAAGGTCACATCCATAAAAATTCTAAACTGTGGCTCTAAGACAAATTAAATATCCCTCTCCCTCCCCCCCATATTCTATTGCTGGAAAAAAGAAGTCATCTCACTCAGACTGGAGTAATCCACTGCATTTAATATAATTTTTTATTCCAAACCCAGAGAATGTCACCACAAATCCAAATTCCATCCAGCATTTTTTTGTCCCAAAGTCTCTCCTGGATGTTTATTTCAAAATGGTCTAAATTAAGCCAAAGCAAGAACATTTTAAAGCAAATTATTGTTTCTTCAAAAGGTAAAACAAAGTCTGATATTCCAAAACTAGCCACAGCCAGAACAGAGCTGGGACAGATCTCATGACCAGCAACACACTCTCAGCTTCAACACAAATGTGCACTTTGTACACAATGAAAGTGAAAATAAAAAGCAGCAACAGAAACAACTCCATTACTTGGGATTTTCAGAATGAATCCAGCACTGAGATTGGAATAATGTGGACACTCTGCTCATGAACAGGGATTTACTGGATTTACAGGACTGCCCTGAGGCAGCAGCTTCACACAGGTCATTAACCGGGAAACAACACAAAACCAGGGAGCCACAGGTGGGAGCCTGCTTGAAGTCCTCGATAGGAATTTGCTATAGTTTGGGAAGAGAGCAGTGAGAAGGATTTTCCCTGCTCTCACTGGGGAAAGGCTGTTCCCAAAGCAGCACACGGGGTTAAATGTCAATCTGGGACCCTGCACAGGGAAACTGAAGTGCTGGGGGTGAGGGGGCACTGTGGCCACCAGCCCTGGCTCTCTCCAGGCTCCAAGGTCTCTCCCTCGTATTTTCACTCCTGGTTTCCACCCAGCTCCCCGAGCACACTCAGCTCACTCTGCCCATCACTGTGACTTTCTTCAGGCCAGTTCAGTGAGAGGAGCACAACTGCTGAGCTGCCCTGGACCACACAGCCAGTCCCAGCTCACTGGGCCAGTCCTGCCCACATCCACTTGCCACACACGTCCAGGGTCACTCTCACTTCCTTGGAGACACCACCCTGGCTCTCCTCCACCTGCCCCCCGCAGCAGCCAGGGTCAGTGCCAAAGGCCAGGGGGCAATTCCCTTCCCAGAGTCCCCGCAGCTCCAGAGGGGCTCCCACGGGGGCTGTGCTGGCTCTGGACACAGCAGGGCTCTCCAGGTTGCTCAGGGATAGTCTGGAGCCATGCCTGGCCTGCCTGGTGTCCCAGAGGGAAAACAGCAAAACAACTCAGCACAACACCCGTTCACAGGAGGTGCTTGGGCAGAGGGGAACAGTAAGGACATGCTCATGTCCCCGGAATGAATTTAATGTGGGTGCTGCCCCTGGATGTTCTGAGGGACAGGAAGAGGGCAGGGATTTATCTGTGTCCTCCATGGAGCCTCACTCTTCAACCCTCACTCCTCGCAGGCTGCCGGAGCAGCTGTGTCTGCCCCTGCATCCCTGGAAGGGTCCAAAGCTAGGCTGGACATGTCCTGGAGCACCCTGGGATAGTGGAAGGGGTCCTTGCCCATGGCAGGGGGTGGAAGGAGATGCTCTTTAAGGTCCCTTCCCACCCCAAACATTCTGGGATGAATCCTGCTCCTGACCCAGCTCTGATGAGGGACAGAGGTAGCCTTGAAACAGAACAGTCCTGCTTGAAACAGGCCCCCAAAAGATATTAAAATGCATGGAGACCTGAAAAAAGACAGGGAGCAGAGCAAGGTCCTGAATCCCTTATAAATAGCAGCAGAAAGCAGAGACATTTATCAGTGTCTCTCCCAGCCGAGCCGGCTCCTTGCCAGAAAGACAGAGCCAAAGGCATCAGTCCCTCACTCCCCTTCTGCTAATTGTAAATTCAAGTTTAATGCCAAAGCCACAGAATGCCAGATCGGACTGGTCTCTCAAGCAGAAAGCTAAATTATACATATTGCTGTGTCTGAACAAAACTTGGACAGAATGGAAGGAAGAGGGGTCTGGAATAAGGCAGAATCATTGATAATTCTGAGGGGCTGAGACTCCCCAGGCAGCTGGTGTGTGCTGCTGCAGGAGAGGGAGGGATTCCACAGTCACAGACTCCATCTGACCCCATTAGTTTGGAAAGCACAGGAATCCTCCCCAAAAGGTACCACTGCCTGCCCTTGGGCACAGGGTGTTACATAACAGGAGGCCTCACAAACTTCTCTTCCCATCGCTCTCACAGAAACACGTGGATTTACTGGATCCAGTCATTTCTATTCAGTTTTTTTTCTGGATGTTTTGCAGGAATTTGAAGTGTCTCCTCCCTCCTGTTGCACAAGGTGTGTGGGGAGCCCTGAGCCTTCTCTGCCCCACAAGTGACACTCCTGCTCCCTACACACACACACCTACACACACACACCTACACACACACACATTTTTCCTATTAGTCATTTTCCATAGAGGAAAGAGCCTGTAGGACACGGGAGGTTATGGGATGACACTTCCAGGTTGCAAGCAGCACATTAATTTAGTAAAGAAGCACCACTGACAGAGGTTTCCCAATTCTTTCCCCACCCATGAGCTGCCCGGAGATTCCACTTCTGCATGTTCAAGGCACTTTGGAAACGCAGCATAGAAAAGTTTTATAAAAAGTTTTACTTGGAAAACAAGGAAGAACAATGACATAACTGCAGACAACAATAATAAAATTAACAAAATGCTAACGGCTATCCATTGCTTTGTCCTTGTTGATATAAAAAGTGTAACATCAGATCCAGTGTACAAATACAAAAAAAATTGTGCATAATAAATGTACTATAATACTGTACATACAGCATAAACCGTTCAATGAGAATGAATTAAATATACCTATTTGTCTCCTGACTTTGAAGACAAAAGAATAAAGTTCTAAAGTCCTAGAGTCAGTGTATAAACCTTTTCTGGGGCTGAATCACGAGCCAACGGTATCCCTGAAAATCAGCAGAGTCAAATATTCCCTTAATGGAAGCCATTATTCATGGGACTGCTGGTTATGATAAACTAGGGGAAAAAAACACAGCATATCAACTGAGTCAACGTTAAATCCAGACCGAGTTCTTCCCATCTCCTGACTTGCTACTGGCACTGCTTTTGTTTGAGCCCGCTTTGGATTTCTTCCCTCTGGAACTGCTGGGGTTGTTTTGGTTGTTGTAAGCCTGGATGGCAAGGTCCAGGCGGTCCTGAGCCACTTTGATTTCCCTCTGCAGGATCTCCAGGTCGGTGGGAATGTTGCCTTCGTTGCTGCCGTACTGCTGTTCCTGAGCTATGTTGGCTTTGTTCTGCTTGTAGGCCATCTTGGCGTTGGACAGCTCCGTGCACTGCATCTGCTCCGGCTTCAGCGCGATGTTGTAGCCCGGGGGAGCCGACGGCGTGTTCCAGGTGAAGGGGTAGTTAAAGGTCCCCGAGTCAACCAGCTCCTTCTTCTTGGCGTTCAGCGTGTCCCGGATGGTGCCAAAGCCCAAGTGCAGCATCTCCCAGACGTTGAGGAGCAGACACATGCAGCTCACCCCGTACATTATCAGCAGGAAAATGGTCTTTTCGGTGGGTCTGGAAATGAAACAGTCGACGTTGTGCGGGCAGGGCTTCCTGCTGCACACGAACACGGGGCTCACCTGGAAGCCATACAGGAAATACTGCCCCACCAGGAAGCCAACCTCAAACAGGGCCCTGGCCAGGAGCTGCAGGACGTAAATCCTCATGAGCCCGTCCTCCCGGATCTGCCGCCGGCCGTCGTGCTTGGCTTTGGCAGGGCTCTGCTTCTCTTTACTCTCCCGGGCGCTCTCCACCTCGATCTCCGGGTACATCATCGGGTCTTCCTCGTGGTCACCCTCAGCTTCCTCCAGGCCCCGGTGCTGTTTCCAGCGGATGGGCAAGCTCCTCCTCCTGGCTCTCCTGCTGGCTTCGCTGTGCTCCACCATCCGGGCGATTTTATGGATGGCATAGCCTAAGTACAGCACAGAGGGAGTGGCCACGAGAATGATCTGGAACACCCAGAACCTGACGTGCGAGAGAGGGGCGAAGGAGTCGTAGCAGACGTTCTCGCAGCCGGGCTGCTCCGTGTTGCACACAAACTTGCTTTGTTCGTCATAATAAATGGATTCTCCTCCCACAGCAATTAGGACAATCCGAAACACAATCAACACTGTCAGCCAGATTTTGCCAACAAAGGTTGAGTGGTTCTGGATCTCCTCTAACAGGCGGGTCAGAAAACTCCAACTCATGGTGGTCAAATGAGTTTATCTAAAAAACAAACAGAACCCCCAAATATTTATGAGTTTATCAGCTCGAGCCTAAATGGTTCAAACTCAACCAAGAGAGTCCGAAAACTTGACTTTTACACCCAACACACATCCATGTTTGTGACCACCACCTGCTATCGGGATCCAGCTGCCAGAATTTGCTTGAAGATCCTACGTCTCCTCCGCAGGCTTTTGAGGAATCTGCTGTAAGAAAAAGTAGCAGTTCAGTATAACTTCATTTAAAAAGTGCTCCCAAAGCTACTCCCCAGCCCAAGACAGAGACATGGATGTCACAGGTTGATAAAAACATTTAAAGCGAAAGCTGAAGACTCCAAAACACAGTTGATGGGAAGACAAGCACCCATGAGATTTTTGGGTGCTGTTGGCCACATTCCACCACTGACAAGAGGATTTATTTTAATTTGTTAAAGCCTGGGCTGGTGACCATGGTCTCAGCCACAACCCATGGGACACACTGTTGTGTCCAAGGGCAGTACCAGCTGTCCTCATTCAGGAAGGGATGGCCCAGCCCGCCTGTGATGCAAAGGCAGGGCAACCTGGTGGCCTGAGCAGTGTCACCCTGCAGGGCCAGCCTAAGGACAGGGCTGGGCCAAGGAATTCCTAACTATGCTCCAACCATCCTGTGGATGGATTTGGGTCCAGCCCCTCTGGGAGGCTTAAAACCTTCCTCCCAGGTTCAGGAAAGATTTCAGTGTGGATTTTGTAATGAAAACCTGGTTAGAAAGAGTTACCTGTCAAAACTTTTAGAAGAGCTGCTCCACAGCAGTGAGTGGTGGTGGCTGAGGGGAGAACGGACGGCGCTGGCAGGAGCTGAGCGAGCCCGGAACTGCCGGGGCTGGCCACGCTCCCGAGCGGGGCTGGCACAGCATGCCAGGGGCAACCCTGCCAAATTCCAATGCCTGCAGATTCCAGGTTGCCCAGAGAAGCTGTGGCTGCCCCTGGATCCCTGGAAGTGTTCAAGTGTTCAAGGCTAGACCGAGCTTGGAGCAACCTGGGGCAGCAGAAGGTGTCCCTGCCATGGCAGGGGTGGCACTGGATGGGCTGCAAGGTCCCTTCCAACCCAAACCATTCCAGGACTCCAGGATAAATCTGCAATCCTAACAGTAAAAATCCCAGCCTTGGAAACTCCTGTCTGGCAACACTTTGAACAAACCCCAGCAACACTGCAGGCCCTCCTGGAGCTCCAAGGAGTGAAACTGGTAAAACACAGGAAGAACTGTTGGACACTGTTAGAGAAAAAGGGGATGAGGCATCTTTAAGACTTTTGATGATGTCAAGTATCAGTTTGACACAAAGATTATTAAAAGAAATTATTACATCAGAAAAACATTTGGTGACAGATCCAGAACCCAGAACTTGTCAAATCTCCAGCACTCTGATCTTAACCTGAAGAAACTCTTATTCTTCAAGTAAGAATTAAAAAGTCTTATTCTTAAGAATTCTTATTCTTAACCTGAAGAAATTCCAGGAGACTGGAGGAAAACCAGTACTGGGAACTATTCAACTTCTTCCACGTAACTACAGAGTTATTCCTAGGCAAAATAATGAAATGTGAGGAGATGCAAGCATGCAGAATTAAAGGATATCAATGTGATCTCCCTCTGGTGGAACTCAGTGTTTCACTGAAAAGCCAAGAGCAGGGATATGGTGTGGATGGGTTCTGCAGGACATTTGATTTATCACTTTATGACAGTGGGAGAAAAAAAAAATAGCATAGGAGAGTATTAAAAAAGGCCATATTAAGTGATCAGAAGTAACAAAAGTCTTGACAAATGATTCCCATATTAGGCCCAAGATCAGTTCCATAATTACAGCAGTTCTGAAAATCTCTGGCAGCCAGGCTGATCATCCTAAGCTCAACTGGGGACTGGCTGCTGACAAAATGGGCCATGGGACATGAGTTTGCAGGCTGGGAACTGGAGATGAGAGTCACCAGTACAGGAAAACACAGATTGCTGGGGAGGCTGAGGCCCCTGGAACAGCCCCAGTGCCTGAACCACACTCAGGGCAGCTCAGGACCAGCAGAGCAGGGTTTTGTAACAGGGGGAGAGGCTGTGGGTGTCAGTTAACAGGGAAGGGAATGAGGCCCCTGAAGGATCAGGGTCTCAGGGAGAGCTGCTGACAGAGTGCAGGTGATGGACTGAGCCCTGGCTGTGTCACTGCCATCAGCTGCCAGGGGCTGATCTTACCTCCTTGTTAGCGAGACAGCCCTGGGCGCCTGCGGCTGCATCCTTCAGCAGTTGCTCCAGCATCAGAGAGTGGGTACAGGAGGCTCAAAACCAGCTGAGGGACAGGGAAGATGCCTAAAATGAGAGATTTACAAAGATCAATTTGTTTAGCTGGGAAACATAGGAGGAAAATGAAAGTGAATCCCAACAGCAACGTGTCAGGATCGTGATGTGTCATCAAAATTACCAATTAGGACAAAAATGCCCAGCCCTCACTCAGGTGGGCAGGCCACCAGCACTCAGCCCTGAAGGACATGTTTGAATCAGATGTGTTCCATAGATAACAGCTTTTAGAGGTGCATGCAATCTTCCCAAGGCTTCCATCCAAGCTCCCCTTCAACACAATCCTGCTGCCATCATTCCAGGGAGCACTGGCTGAAATAACACATTTTTAACAGGCAAAGAGACCAGAGGTTCCAGTCCCATTGCATCTCCTTTCTGCAGCAAGGGCTTGGCACCCCCATTTCAGAAAGGCACCCAAGAGCAGCTCTGCCACTCAAGTTTTGTGTTCTGTGTCAGTGCTTCAGACACCCCACATTCAGCATTTCCCACTCAGATTTGGGGTCCAGATGAGGGGCACATGAATCTGGGGGTGCTGCACGTGCCTGAGAAGGGCAATGGGCAGCAAAGGCAGGTGAACCCCACATCTGGATCAGGAGGTTAACAGAGGAGAGGAACCCCAAAACCCCTCTCCCACCACACTGCTCTGCCCATCTCATCACCCTGGGCACCGACAGGACAGGCATGTCCACACTGACACCTCGTGATTCATCAGCTAAAAAAGAGACAAAACCAAAGGAGTTTAAGAGGCTAATTCTTATTCGCTGAAAATGTCAGGGCCACACTTTTCACCGAAAGCAAACTACTAAGTAAATTTGAAATTAATTAAACACTGTTGCCAATGTAAATTTGGAGTAACAGCAGGAACCAGCCTTTAAATTTTCATATACTGTCACATTCCTCAGGAGTTAAGGACAGGGAAGCTTGAAATGAGTGCCGATTTCAGTAAGAGAATCTTTACTTTTAGACAAGCTGCTACCTCCTATCTAAGAAATTTCTTCAAGGTACATACCAGCTTTTCACAGTGCATTTTCTACCTGCAGACAGGTACCAAAAACAACCCAGGAATCATTCCTGTGATTCCCAACCCAAATTCCACCAGCTGTACCAATGCACAGAGTGCCAGACCTATGTTCAGACATATGCTGGGTCTCCCACAGCCCTGGGATGCAGGAGGATTTTACCCAACCTGTGGTTAACAACCAGGACCTGCCAATTAGTGTGTCCTGGCTGTGCAGCTCTGAAGCTGCCCAAGAGTTGATTCTCTTTGCCAAGAAAGTGTCACTTTGTCTATTTAGTCCTAGTCCTGAGCAGAGCTGCTGGGACAAACATGGGACGACCCAGGAGCAGGCAAAGAACTTCCTGGTCTTTAAGGAAATGTTTTGGTTCAAGTAAAATGACAGTCATTAAGTCTTGGAAAGGTTCAGCCCATCCAAATTCAATGCAGTACAAACCCAAGAACTTCCAAGTGGAATTCCGGTGCTGTCCTTCCGTTGTGTGGGATCAGCCAAGGTCAGAGGGGCACATTCTGCCTCTCCTCCACGTGCTGCAGCACCCAGACACATCCCAGTAACCTTCACCCAACGTACACCCACGCGCCTGCATCTGTTGTTTCTGGCAACATTTAACTCAATAATTTTCCAATGTTTGAAAGAAAAGTCTATGGACACTGACACGCATCTGAGAAAGGCAGAATGTCAGCAATTTCAGCTAATTTAAGTCATGCCAGAAAGTGCATTTGAGAGAGACTTTCATTTCTTGTATTTGTCATAAGTTCATTTCAGCACTTCCAGCGGAGGAGGCTCCTTGGAGCAGGCAGGATCCATGATGAAATATCAGGAGGCTTATCTCTGACAGGGGGCTGGCTCCTGAATTAAAGCTTTGCAGGCGCTGACATCCAGAGAGAATGAAGAAGAATTTGGAGCAGGTAAATGAGAAAAAATAAATCAGCTTCAGGTGAAGAATTTCTGGAGTTAACATACACCTGGTGTTCACATACAGCCAGAGAACGGCCCCTCAGGTGTGTCCCCTCCTCTTCCCAGCCCATGGGGGGTTGGCTATGAATTTAAACATTTTGACATCAAATTTTCACCTCCTTTCAGCTTTCTCCTCAAACAGCAACAACCTCCTGCCACCCAGGGTGGGAAGAACTGCACCGTGGAGCAGCAGTTACTGTAAAATGCTCCAAATCCAGCCCTTGGATGGGACAGCTGAGGTGTGACAGGGACAGCAGTGGGGCAGGAGGAAACTAAAACACTCCAGCAGTGTCCCCATTCCCCTGAGATGGAGGGCACCTGGAGGGCAGGACAGCCAGCACCAGGTGGGTGTCAAGGCAGCCTCATTCCAGGCTGTCGAATCCCAAACACCTTCGGAACCATCTCCTGCCCTTGTCTTGGCACAGCCTGGGCTCATCCCAGTGCAAACTGGAGCCCCTTGTCTTCATCCCAGTGCAAACTGGAGCCCCTTGTCTTCATCCCAGTGCAAACTGGAGCCCCTTGACTCCAGCCCAGTACAAACTGGAGCCCCTTGACTCCAGCCCAGTGCAAACTGGCAGCTACACCCAAAGCACCTGAGCAGGAGGGTGCAGGGAGTGCTGGTTTGGTTCAGCACTAGGCAGCCTGTGAGGATCATGGAGCTGGACTGCACATCCATGTGAATCCAGTCCAATCCAAGCTCTCCTGTGATGTTTCTGTGGTACCAGGACTCAGTTCATGTCATTCCATCAATGCCAGAAGTGGGGCTGGGCACAGCCTCAGCATGTCCAAGGATGGCACCAAGCTGAGGGGCACAGCTGATGTCCTGCAGGGAAGGGATGCCATTCCCAGGGATCCTGACAGCCTGGAGAAGCAGGCCCATGGCAACCTCGTGAACTTCCACAAGGCCAAAGGGAGGATCCTGGATCTGGGCTGGGGCAACCCCCAACAGCAGCACAGACTGGGGTGGGGGGATGGAGAGAAACCCTGCATGGAAGGACCTGGGGATACTGGAGGCTGAAGAACAGGATGTAAACCAGCAACAGCCCAGAAACCCAACTGCCCCCCAGGCTGCATCCAAAGCAGCGGTGGCAGCAGGCAAGGGGGGAATTCTCTGGAGCCCCCAGCATGGGACAGACATGGAGCTGTTGGTGGGAGTCCACAGAGATGCTCCAAGGGCTGGAGCACCTCTGCTGTGGAGACAGGCTCAGGGTACAGGGGTCATTCAGCATGGAGAGAAGGAGAGACCATCCTGTGACCTTCCAGTACAAATGGAGCTTGTAAGAAAAATGGGGACATTTTATCAATGCCTGTAGTGACAGGACAAAGGATAATGCTTTTAAACTGTGAGTGGGCATGATTAGATGGGATGTTGGAGATACCCTACCATGAGGGTGGGCAGGCCCTGGCACAGGGTGCCCAGAGCAGCTGTGGCTGCCCCTGGATCCCTGGCAGTGTCCAAAGCCAGGCTGGATGGAGCTTGGTCTAGTGGAAGGTGTCCCTGCCCTTTGATGGTAGGAGTGGTGGAGGGTCCCTAAATTTTTATATTTCACCAGCACCTCCTCAGACAAGGCTTTGTAGCCTCAAGGTAGTTGTTAAGGAGAATGAATATATCTACAGAAGACTTTTTTCCTCCCTAAACTATGTCTTCCCAGGTCATGCTAATAAAATTTGATTAATTTATTAATGATTTATTTGTTTTGTTTTGTTTTTAAGCAGTTTAAAAAGACATGTGCTGAGCAGGGAAAAAAAGAAGAAATGCATGGCAATTCTGTTGTTAATCAAAAGAGGTTTCATGCTGCATGAAAGTGAAATTGGGCCCACAGGCTAATTAAAATAGTATTTGAATTAGGATGAATGAATAATTACCATTATTCATTCAGATCTCATTTACATTGAAAAGTAAGAAATTACATGATTTACAAGTACTTTTGAGGAAACAGAGGAGTTCTTTTTTTTTTTTTTTTTTAACCTGGAAAACAAGTAAGACTTTACTGCTCAAGAAAGCAGAGAGCCGTGGTGAGACCCAGCACTGGAATGGGGCCAACACATCCTGAACCCTGGTGAGCGTTGTGAGCGTTGTGCTGATGCCACCTGCATTCCCTGAGCAGCAATTCCAGTGTCCATTGTCCTGAGTGACACAAGAGCAAGGATGTGGGGATACCCCTGGGATAAGAGAACTCACAGTTAACACCCTTCTATCCTCTGTGAAGGCAGTGAGTCCAATCATCACCAATTTTACTCCTATTTTCAGTAATAAAGATGAAAAGGAATAAGAGAAGTGCACTGAATTTTATTTTTAATCTTATAGAATATTTGTGAAGGAAAAGACTGTGACTTTTTGGAGAGCACACTGCTCTTTCAAGTAAATCCTCTGTCATCTGGCAGGGCTCACGTGGCAACAGCAGAGAATGGTTTGGAAAAAGCCACAATGTCAATGTCAATTTGGAAACCATTTCTGAATGGTGCCTTCCAATCCCAGGCATGCTAACAAGGCTGATTCCCAGACCAATCCCCCGAGTCTAAAAAACCCCACGCTGAATTATGAGACCACAGATCCTGTGTGGGATATAAATAGAACAGGAAAATATGGGTAAGAGGTAGGGATATAATAAGATTCTTGCGCTGTCAAAAAAATAAAGATGTCAAGTACGTATCTTTTTGAAAATCAACATATACCCACCCGAGCATTCAGCTTACAGATAAACTGGAATTTGCAGCTAAGACATGAACCTCCGGTCGCCTCGGCGTGCCCTCTAGGTACTGCTAACATGGGAAGCCAAGTGACAATTTTAGCAACACTCCCCCGCAGTGACAAAATTCAAATGAAATCACGACGTGTTTTGTGCTGGCCCAAACCAGCTTTTGCTGCACCTACAGCAAGCGTGCTGCTGCGGGAAGCGGCGTGTGCAGGGCAGGCACCCCGGAACGCGCGGGTCCCGGCGGGGGAGCACAGGACGAGCTGAGCCTGGCTCGAGTTCATCTGAGAGCAGGAGCCTGCAGTGACAACAGGCTCCATGGGAAATGGACGCTGGGCTGTAC